CGAAAAAAGATATTCCAAAAAGGAAAACGCCATTCTTTTTTACTTTGAAAAGCCTTTCAAATAAGCAGCAATTATTTTTTACCTCATAGGCACTTTAAGCTCGAATTTCAGAGTAGCTTGACAAGCTAATATTTCCGAGAACAAAATATTTGATAACGAAAAATTAAAATAGAAATTGCTATGGCGATTGAGTGCGTTTGAACAACACACGCTTTCGGGCATTGTGTTAGTTTTTTCGGGCAATGAGGCCTTGTCTTCCGCTTGTCTCCGCGGAAAAATAACAGCCGGAAATACGTCTGTGTTCGTAGGCTGAAGTCAATTAACATGAAAATTTAAGACCACCCCTTCTCCTATTTCAATAATGGAAAATGGCGTGTTTTGTCTTGAGCGCGAGTTCATTTAAGGTTTCAGCACGTGAAACCCTTATAACATGTGGTTACGAGAAGAAAAAAAAAATCAGTATTGAGTATCCTCTCTTATTTGATGGTGTTGGAAATCGAATGGACATCGCTATTTTGTTTTCGGCGGGGCCAAACGAGTACGTCTGCGTTCGCAGGCTACTTTTTTACTGCTTAGTTAATTGACTTTTTGTAATTTAGTTATTCCAATTGTATTCTATTTATTTGAAAATCCGGTAATCAATTTCTCAGAAATTTTCAGGCCCTTGTTCGTTTCAGCTTTTTAAAACAGGAATTAAACGTTTGCGGAAATTGAACCTCCTGTTCCTGTCGAGAGATGACACAAGATCGCGCATACGGAAATGTTCTCTTCTTGTCTACGTGACAACGATTTCTGCTTTGATTGCAGCAATTGTTTCCTCAGTTTATATTTTTTAAAAGGGTTTAGTACGGCTTTAAGACTATACTCAAGAAGAAACGGCCGGATTAGCTTATTTTGCTTCCTGAACATTGTGAAGAAGTAACTGGGCTACGTAGCGTTGCGTGACCAAAGACCCAAATAACCCGTCCCCCGGGATGTTACTTTCGACAGTGCATTGTAGAGAATTACAGACATAGGAAAAAACTGAGAAGAATCGAGAATCTGAACGTTTACTAGTAATCTAACAATTCAGTATCGCATGCAGTTTTGAAAGAGAGCTGCTATCGTAAGAGAGTGCAGTTTCTTAAGACGGTTTGGACAATAGCTGAAACATGCTGTAACAAAGATCGGTCACTATGAAAGGCGTATTAAACGCTCGGGTGTTATCCGGTTTCCGGAGAAAATGTGCAAAAGCGCGTGCACAGCACTGTACTGTTGAAGAAAGCTATCAAAACCCAAAAGAGGGAGCTTCAAGCTCTTTTCTGAGACTTTCCACATAGAGATCAGAGTGTGCTTTTTATGTATTTTCTTGCGCATTGCTAAACAACAGGGCAGACAAACAGAGTAAACAGCTAATACGTTATTGTATGGCGTTGGCATGAAGTGAGGACATGGGTTATTTCACAATTAGATTATTAATTCCAAGCATCATTTGACTCTTTAACCACTGTTTGATTTATGTTCATTTATGCTCAGCATTTTAGTCGAATTAAAAAACTCTATGAAGATATTCCTGTAGACTTTCAGAAACGTCGTGCGGATTTAAAAAACTTCTGTGATCGAAACCGTGCCAAACTGCGTGACGTACTTCACCGGTAGGGTAACAGACAACTTGGCTAGCGTTACATATTTCGAAACTACTCTTTCAGCTTGTTTCAGTCAGGTTTTAGCATTCCAAGAAAGACGTCTATATATAGCAAAACTTTCTCGCAAGCAGCCGTTAAACAACTAAACATGGCGTCCAGTCTGCTCCTTTGGTTTGTGCTTATTACATTACTTGCGTTTACAAGTTCTGCTACGTTATGTCCGAGGATTTTCTTTCAAAACATCAACGAAGCGACCATGCCGTACAAAATCATCGAAGGTGTCTACATTAAGGAGAACTACTACCACAACAGTTTTCCTGTCTACCGCCTAGAGAATGATACCTTGCTATTTTATCACATGGTCAGCAAAGGTAACGACTATTTGGTATTTGGACTCAATCTCAACGACTACTTTGGCGTGGCTGCAACTGTTTACGAGGATCCCGCGTCTTGGCTCAGTTCAGCGATTTTAAACAGGAACGATATATTTGGTGGAATCGTGAACCAGTGGCAATACTACAACACACGAGAAGAGACCAACTACTATGTGCCAACTACTTATTCCTCTCCCAAGATCAAAGCGGTTTGCGTGGATGAAGATTTCAGAGAATGTAACTCGGACAGAGTTTACTTGAATGAGAGCTTTGATGACGGTAAAGGGATCACTTTGAACGATCCCACCAAAGATTATTTCTATCGCGTGGTGGGTTTGTTCCGCAATCTTCGTCCTGTCTATAAACACAACGCTCAGACATGGTATTTACAGTATGTGGACAACTTCTGGGTGGTTACTGGTTCGTATGCACCGAGTAATTATGACGATAAGACTTACATGAGAGTAAAGGATTTCGCAATAAGACCTGAATATATCAGCAAAACGTGGTCGGTGCATTACAATGGATGGCGTGACATGCCCAACCTCAGAGTCATGTGTAGGGGAGTGACTTCAATGTCGAACACTTGTCCATCAAGACCATGTGACAGTAAAGCAAGATGCGTTTACACTTCGGGTAACGAAACCCTCTGTCTCTGTCCTTCAGGATATACGGGACTGACATGTTCCGTCAACAAAGAGTGCCCCAAACCATTCCCCAAAGCCAACACAGAAGTTAATTTTGCTAACTCGGGGAAACGACCCGGAGACCTTGGCTTCGCATTCTGCAGTGGATCGTATCCCTCCGTGAGGTATTACTTGTGTGTGGATGGCAGATCCAGTTCGTACTGGAGGGGACAAGGGTCACTCTGCACAGGAGAGGACCCGACGACTCCGACATGGTATACTAGAACTCGAGAAACACCTTGGTATCATCGAACTGTAGGCCCACCGCGGGCTAAACCCATCAACTTTGATGACAACCCCATTGTAGTCCCAGTTGTGATCTCTGTTGCTGTCCTGATACAAATCCTTCTGCCGTTCGTGCTGTGGTGCTGTGCTTTGTGCACGACGTCTTGCAAGGAAGTCGAGGAGGAAGAAGATGATCAGAGGAGACGAGAACAAGTTGACGAGGAGCTGGGGAGGCGTCTTCAACGAGTTGCTGCAGCCGGGAATCAAGAGGAACTCGACCAAGGCGTCCAAGAATACCAGCAAGCCGTTCAGGATTATCAAAGGGAAAGCGACGCCAAAGAATTGAGCCGCAAACGAGGTTTCTACCGAAATGCGAGTTTGTGCAGGCTTATTTCAATGGACATGTTTTTCTCTTTCTATCTTTGGCTTATCTACTTTGTTGGATGTGATCTGTCCCAATGCACAAAGTATGGTTCCGTCTTTGAGATATTAAGAATCTTCGCCATTGTAATGCTTTGTCTCTCTCCTGTGATAGTCCTACTAGAAAGCGCCTTCTCCCACGAGCTGGACTACCTCAAGAACATCATGGAAGACGAGACGGCTTGGGGCTACATACAAAGAATGCACGAGGTTCCACCGAGGATCAACATGGTTGTAGAATGCTACCATTACGAGACACGTACGCGAGTGGTGTATTACACAGACGCCAACGGAAACCAGCAGTCTCGCACCGAGACTTACACAGAGAAAGTTGTAACATATGTGGACCAGGACGTGTTCTCCTTTGGTTCATGGCTTGATGTTTCTAAGAAGGAGATGCCAGCACTAAGTATGGTTGCTCTAACTCGAGTCAAGATCGATCCAAGTATCCTATTCGGCGACCAAGAAACTGCAGATGACTACGAGAGGCAAGTGGCAGAAATGTTGGACAGAAATCGTCACCGAGATGTCTATACTGATTACTCGTCGAGCAAAGAAATTCCTGGACTGAAGAAGCGGATATCTGCGTACGTAGATTTGAGGGTGAAGCCATTTTGGATTCGGCCGCTGTTTTTCTGGATTGCCACCTTGTTGCAGATGACTTGGCCTTACCGCTGGTTATTCAGAGCCAAAACAGCAAAGACCTACTATGCCTTGAAGAAAAAGATGTACAAGAGCACAACACCACCGAGAGAGGTTGACGTGATGGATCCAATTGCAGTCCTGACTGGTAATGAATCCTCTGTCTTGAACGCCAGTGGTCCAGACAACAGCTGCCCAGGTTACCCAATGTCTGTGATGAATAATGCAGAAGGAGGCAATCTCACCATCCAAAATGGTGGTACGGCATATCCACCTGTTAATCCATACCTCGGACAAGGCCATCCAAGCCAAGGCGAAAGTCATCTGAACCCGACTTACAATCCTGATGCAGAACAGCCATATACTCCTTATCCTGTTGCATCTCAGCCAAATGCCCCGCCGCCGCCATATACTGCAGGGATGAATTATCCAGCCCAGGGCAGCAGTGCACCATATCCACCGCCCAGTCCATATAGTGGACCTGCATTTCCAGCTCATCCTGCCGGACCGCTACCAAGTGCGCCTCCGCCATCATACGAGGCATCTGTAGGTCACAACCCCGAGCCAAGCAACGAGCACAAACCTCCGGCAGTGTAATGTTAAAAAGGGTAATGTCTTTCTCAACCTTTTTTTATAGCCTGCGTGCAGACACCTCCCATTTCTTTTTATGAGAAAAAATCCTCTACAGGAATGTTACCTGTCTCGAGCCTAAGACTGAAATTTACTAATTTTGTCAATTCATGACTGCTTTTTAATTTAGAGAACATTACTTACATTAAGTTAATTTGCGCGCTCATTGTTAATCTTTGTTTTTCTTTGTTTCTTTTGGTGTTTTGAGACATTTGAAAGGGTTTATCGAGCTCAAGCTGTGCGAGCTCCTTTATGAAAAACCTTTTACACTTATACTCGCACTTTAAAGCGACGTTCTGCATTTGCGCGCTCCCAATCACCGAAAGAAAGTCAGGAAAACTAAGACAATGGTTTACTATTTTGAGCTGACTTTATTACTGCGCCTGCCAATCACAGGAAAACTCTGAAGATCAAACCCTAACTAACGATTGCGTTTTTGGACGAGCCTTGAAAAATAAGAAACAAATAAAATGAATCGATATCTATCAATGGTAACCCATAGACGTGACATTTTAACCTGAAGATGATTGACAGCTGCAAAAAAATACCTTTGGGAGTTCGCGTGTGTTTGAAATGTGCAGTAAATAGGCAGCTCTACAGGGAAACTTTTTTTAAGTACATTTTCATACATTCCGAAGATTTAAGTTTATAAAGAGATAACGTTACAGTATTAATATTTTTTTAAACGTTATCACTCCGAGTTTGTCGAACAGCCGGCAAAGGCACCTTGTCACTCTGCACGCTTAAATTTCTTCAGCGAAACTTTTTCGGGAAAAATTGAACTGGACTGAGCTTTTCTGGGTTACGGAGTTGTTCTGACCAATTAAAGTATTTGATCATTCTTCAAAAAATTTTAGTAGGTTCACTTTAAGAATAATATTATGACTGAGCCTATAGTTTAGAAGACTGCGGAAGCTTTGGCTTCTGCTACGTATACCATAAAGTAATCAATAGGAGCTTAACGTTTAATAGTATGCGAAAGTTTTGAAGAATTTTTGTTCTACTAGCATTTATGCTGCTGTTAAAAAAAAACCAAAACAATCACATTCATGTGGTTTTACACCCATTTTGTCCATGAAGCCACGGGTGTGATTGGTATCAAAATGTACGGTTCATGAGATACTTTTACTTTAGCAATTTCTGGACCGTCAAGTTTAGACGCGTTGTATTTAGTTGCTTAGTTTCTGCCTTGAGCTCGGAGAACGTACCTTAGCGTCAAACGCACGGCCTTTACCAAGTATTCTTAATTAACCAATCACAGCTCCGCGAGCTTACTTGATTTATAATTTTCATATATGTTCGTTAGTCAAAGTTGGAGTTGGAGTTGGTAGCCTGCAACGGCAAGAGCTATTAAAGTTCTCAAGAATAGAGAGTGGTGATCTGAAAAAGATATAGCCTTGTGAGCTATATTTCCCCCTAAAAAATAGACGACTCTATCTGTTCCGCAACAACTACATTTAGGAAGCCTAATGTTAAGCCGTTTCTAGAACATTTTAAAATCCTAGAAGCCTTTGAGTACATACGCAAGAAATTGTAAGCCCATGGTTTTTTCAATTTTTTTGAAGTTATGATCGATACAAGAAATTACCTCAAAAAGATAATGGAAAGTTTGCAAAATTACTGAGATTGTAGACTTAATTTTTTTTGTTTTCAGGGAAGAATGCATGATTGTCACTTTTGTATCCTGACCAAGGATTATCATTTCCGGATTAAAACACGAGTGACAGTGATTGGAAAAATTGTTTAGATTTGGGTGACCAATAGGCTTCTTCACTCAGACTGCTAACAGTCTGTTTTCCTCTCGAAATGAGACATACACCTTATTAAAAAACGCGATACAAACATCAGTTACAAGATTGAGATTAAAAAAAGCTGATTTACATGTTTGCCATTTGGAATCACGAGGAGGACATGAGGCGATTGCTCTCAGTTTTAAAGTTAATAAAAGATCTAAGGGCTCTGACGTTAGACGAATGGCTATTCGACAAATGCGCCCCACTGTAGCAGAAAGTACTTTTCTAAAAATCGGTACGGGGCTGAGGCGTGGATCATAATGCGAGACATTTTAGACTAGTAGGGATTGGGACGAGAAATTCCGGAGACCGGCTGCCAGTAGTCTATCACTCATTAAAAAAGCGACGCTGCGCTGTATGAGATCCCATATATATATCGGTGGACGATACAACCTCGCCTTCTTGTTGGTCAGAAGTAATTGGTGATTTTATTAACGGGAAATGCGTTACTGACCATGGAGAAATTGGAATACAATCGGGAAATGTAAAATATTTGGCCTCGTAGGTCAGGTCCAGAGGTTTCACTATGAAAACACATCAAACGTTTTCCGTCCACACTACGCCGGAGGAATTTGAAAGCGTGAGAATCACCGGTCGTCTTGCATTCCTGTTTGAGTAAAACTAGGGTAGGGGAATATCACGGTTATCGGAAAGCTCCTTTTATAAAATATTTTCCGTCAACTCTAACTTTAAGGTCGGCACACACGGGGAGACTTGTGCCTGCGACAAGCCCCTGCAACAAGTCGCGGGGACAAGTCCCATCGTGTGAACTAGCCGTTTTTGCTTCAAAATCTAGTCGCAGGGACCAACTTTAGTCCTTGTGACTAGTCCCACGAATTCAAACCAGTTTGAATTTTTGGGACAAGTACCTGCGACTTGTTCCTCAAAACTCTTCGTGTGAACTGTTCGTGGGACAAGTCCCTGCGACCAGTCCCTTCGTGTAAACTCTTCAGGGGACTAGTTGCAGGGACAAGTCCCCTCGTGTGTGCCGACCTTAAAACGCAAAGCCGGCATTTTCAAATTCTTCCGGTCTAAAGACCGTTTTCGAAAAGCTTCGTTTCCGAGACGGATTAGTGTGGAAGATAGGCCTAACCGGAAAAATAATAAAGCTCCGTTTTCAAAGGCTGGGGAAGTTATTAAAATTTTCGCAAACCATAAGTGAAAGTATTTGTTAATTTCACGAGTATACCATTTTATTACTTTTTAATATCGTGGGTGACAAATTACGCTTATAATAATATACACGAAAAAATTACTCGATTCTGATTGGCTGAGAGCAGTGCAGTTCAAGTGTAACACCAGTGCAAATTCCACATCGTAATTCTGTATTATGATTGGCTGAAAGACAATAGGAAATTTTCGAAGCCAATAATATTACGTAAAATGATGACGAAAATTTTGTGCGGAAACTTTGAAAAAAGTTTTCTCAAATGAGAAAAAATGGCTTCAAGAAAGGTCTTCCGGCACTTCCTCTAGGCAAATTGTTTCATACTTATATTATTAGTAAGTAAAAGCGGCTTGTGCAATATCAGCTTTTTGAAAAACTCACAATGCAAGTGCAAATTAACTCCAAATTGAACGAGAAAAACCGTATGATTACCTATACTAATCGTGAGTTTTTGACTTGTTTATTGTAACAAGAAATTTCGCTCCAAACGTTGCCATGGCAAGTTTGTTAATTCACATGTGAAATTAATGCGCCAAAATTAAGGAGTAATTTGTCATCCATGATATTACAAGAACAAAACACAATTTCTTTGCAATTTGTATAGTTTCCATTGTGACATTATCATAACAGCACACAGCGCGCGCTCAGAATTCGAATGATAAACTCGCTTTTATGACGAAATTTTTCAGCTAGTTTTCCGTCGCGAAACCAGTTTAACGGTGTCGCTTTAACGGTTGAATAAGTTACTACTAACACATGAAACCGTTAACGATATACGTGATTCTTACATTAACTTCACAAGCAGCCTCGCGTGCCTCAGAAAATACTAACAAAGAAGGTAAGTTCTGCCAATCTCGCAAATGAAATAGAAATTCTTGTACTTTTTCAGAAAGTCTTGAGCTCCTAGAAAAGCTCAAAGTGCCTGTATAAAGGTAGCTTTCAGTCAACAGATTTAACATTATTTTCCGTACCAAAATTAACCAAAGCAACATTTCTTTTCATTCGAAATAATATCTATGGCATTTTATTTTTTGTTTTAAGTTCGTGCAAACAGTTGCTTGAAAATATCATAAGTTAAAAAGAGTAATAAAATAATCCAAAATAACCTCAATTATATAGCAGACGTTTCGGGCCTAGCCCTTCCTCAGTGCTAAGTTTTGGTATCCTAGAACTCGAGAAACACCTTGGTATCATCCAATTTTAGGCCCAGCGCGGAATAAACCTACCAACTTTGATGACAACCCCATTGTAGTCCCAGTTGTGATCTCTGTTGCTGTCCTGGTACAAATCCTTCTGCCGTTCGTGCTGTGGTGCTGCGCTTTGTGCAGGACGTCTTGCAAGGAAGGCGAGGAAGAAAAAGATGATCAGATGAGACGGGAACAAGTTGATGAGGAGCTGGGGAGGCGTCTGCAACGAGTTGCCGCAGCCGGAAATCAAGAGGAACTCGATCAAAGCATCCAAGAATACCAGCAAGCCGTTCAGGATTATCAAAGGGAAAGCGACGCCAAAGAATTGAGCCGCAAACGAGGTTTCTACCGAAATGCGAGTTTGTGCAGGCTTATTTCAATGGACATGTTTTTCTCTTTCTATCTTTGGCTTATCTACTTTGTTGGATGTGATCTGTCCCAATGCACAAAGTATGGTTACGTATTTGAGATGTTGAGAATCTTCGCCATTGTAATGCTTTGTCTCTCTCCTGTGATTGTCCTGCTAGAAAGCGCCTTCTCCCACGAGCTGGACTACCTCAAGAACATCATGGAAGACGAGACGGCTTGGTGCTACATACAAAGAATGCACGAGGTTCCACCGAGGATCAACATGGTTGTAAAAGGCTACCATTACGAGACAAGTGGGCGCGTCGTGCACGAAACAGGCGAAGACGGTAACAAGCATTCCAGCACCGAGACTTACACAGAGAAAGTTGTGACATATGTGGACCAGGACGTGTTCTCCTTTGGTTCATGGCTTGATGTTTCTAAGAAGGAGATGCCAGCATTGAGTACTGTGGCTCTAAATCGAATCAAGATCCACCCAAGTATCCTATTCGGTGACCAAGAAACTGCAGATGACTACGAGAGGCAAGTGGCAGAAATGTTGGACAGAAATCGCCACCGAGATGTCTATACTGATTACTCGTCGAGCAAAGAAATTCCTGGATTGAAGAAGAGGATATCTGCATACGTGGATTTGAGGGTGAAGCCATTTTGGATTCGGCCGCTGTTTTTCTGGATTGCCACCTTGTTGCTGATGACTTGGCCTTACCGCTGGCTGTTCAGAGCCAAAACAGCAAAGACCCACTATACCTTGAAGAAAAAGATGTACAAGAGCACAGCACCACCGAGAGAGGTTGATTTGATGGATCCATTTGCAGTCCTGACTGCAAATATCTTGAACTCCAACTCCAAGAACTGCCCAGGTTACCCAACGTCTGTGATGAATGATCCAGGAGGAGGTGATCATACTTCATACTTCGGAAGAGGCGATCCAAGCCAACGCGAAGGTCATCTAAACCCGCCTCACAATCCTGATGCAGAGCAGCCATTTTCTTCTAAACCTCCTGGATCTCACCCAAATATACCTCCACCGCCATGTGCTGCAGGGATATATTATCCAGCACCCCATTCTCCCTTCCCAGGTTATTCTGCTGGACCTCTACCAAGAGCACCTCCGCCATCGTACGAGGAAGCTGTAGGTCACATCTCCCAGCCAAGCAACGAGCACAAGCTTCCCACTGTGCAGTGTTAGATGGTATTGATTTCTTTTTGTTCTCAACCATTATTTATAGCCCGCGTGCAGTCACCTACCATTTCGCTTCAAGTTAAAAAAGCGCCGGCAGGAAGGTTACCTGTCTCGAGCCTACGACAGAAATTTACTAATTCTGTCAATTCTCCTCTTGAGGGCTCTTGGGACAACATTAATTTACTGTTATAAACTTACATTGCACGTTCATTGCATATCTTTGTGTTATATATGTCTCTTTTGGTAATTGAAAACTTGTGAAACGGTTTGTCAACTTCATGCTGTGCGAGTTCCTTCATGAAAAACCTTTTGCACTTTTGCACTTGCACTCGCGCTTTAAAAAACTTTTTATATGCTCAAAATCACCGAAAGAAAGTCAAGAAAACTAGGACAATCTTTAAATAATATTTTGAGCTGATTGTACTACGGCCCCTTTCAAACACACGAATACTCTGAAGTTCAAACCACGATTAACGATTGCGTTTTCTGGTCGTACAAGCCTTGAAAAATAAGAAACACAAAATGGATGGAATCTAATATATAGATTTAGCCAAGCCTAAAAGCGGCACTCCTGGGCCGGGTTGTTTAAAGCCCGATTAATTAAGCTAACCCAGGAGAAGCGAGAATTTTGATTTGAGATTTGTAACTTTACGTTGTTTGGCCTTCTGTTTTGAATTTGAATAATCTCAATCTCAAAATACATAAAACAAACGCAGCGAAAAACATTTGTATACTAGAAAAAATTATACTTCGGTTAACTATTATAATCCTGGGTGAGCGTTAACAGGCGTCCGAACAACCCGGCCCTGTTTACAACAAGGTAACCTGACATGAGCCCGCGATCCAATCGGAAACTTGCACTTGGTCAGCGGTCAACTCCAAAAGAAACGTGACCTCGATGAGCTCTAAACTTGATCCCGCGATATGATCACATGATACTGGTCAGCGGATACCTAGTTTTGACAGGCGTGTCAATTGACCATTACATGGATGTCCAATATCAAAGAAGGACGCTATAAACCAAGTATGCATGTCTCTGTCAACCTCTTAGTTGGAGTATCACCACGATCTTGCGCGACTCCGTCGCCGTCGCTGTCGTCATCGTGCGTACGCGCCCACGAGCAATACCGCTAGCCATGATAAGCATGAGGAAATCATTCATGGGTTTTCCTATATTGGTATGGAGCTCCGCTTGGCGGCCCTTCGGGCCGCCGGTGCTCCGCTATCAATCCTAACCCGCAGAGGTGACTCTTTGAATTGAGGATGATTGACAACAGTTATAAACTACACTGTTGGGAGTTCGCGTGTGTTTGTCCAGCCACAGGCCAGACGTGACTGGTTCCAAAAACTTCGGTCCTCAAAGTACTGTTACCCTAGGAATTCCTGGACTGTCAATTTAGACGCTTTACTACTTGCTTAATTTCTGCCTTGAGCTCGAAGCACCGCTTTTACCAGGTATTTCGTAGCTAAATTAACCAATCACAGCTCAGCGAACTTACTTAATCGGCAGTTGGCATATGACTTCGTTAGTCGGATTTTAAGTGGGAGTTGCATGCCGGCAACGGGAAAGTTAAATTCTCAAGATTAAAAAGTGGTAATCTGAAGTACATATAGTCTTGTGAGCTATCGTTCCCACCTAAAAAAGAGACGACTAATCCTATCCCGCAACTGTAACAGCTACATTTAGGAAGACTAATGTTGAGCATAATGCTACTAGAAAATTGCAAAATTCTAAAAGCCTACACAAGCAAGAAACTGTAAACCCGTGATTTTCCAAGCTTTTTCAATTATGATCGATATCACGAGAATTTAGTTCAAAAAGATGGTTGAAAGTCGTCGATGCAAATTACTGACATTGCAGTATTTATCATTATTTATTACTTGGAGAGAATGCGTAACAGCCAGCGATTTGTGACAGCGATTACAAAAATTCTTTGGATTTGGGTTTTGCTTATTTTCTTTGCGTGCCGGCTTTAATGTGATTAATACCTCTTGGAACATATTGACTTATTGATTATTGAATATTGTCTATTGGCAAATATTTACAAACTTAACCTGGTTCTTTTCTCTTAGGTTGGGATTTCCATCTTTTCACAGATTTTTTCACCTGTTTTCAAGCTGCTACAAATACAAGAAAAAAGAATCAAACTATTTTTTTCAGACTGTATCGTCTCCATGCTGTCATCCCGATAACACAGCGCGCGCTCGAGAATCAAAATAATAAACTCACTTTTGACTTGTTTTTCACTTTGTTTTGCCTCGTGACACGCCGTGTAACCGTTTCCCGTTAACGGATCAATGCATGAAGTTACTACAACAATGAAGGTAGCTTTTGCCAATGTTACTAACTAAACAGAAATTCTTTAACATGTTTAACTTTTTCAGGAAGGCATGCGCTTTTTGAGAAGTTCAAAGCGCCCGGAGAAAAGGCCTTGTCAACTAGTTTCACATTATTTTCTGTGCCAAAGTTATCAAAGGAAAAATTTCTCTTGATAGGAAAAATTCATGGCTTTTAAAGTTTTCTTTTAATTTCGTGAATATAGTTGACTGATACGAAACTTTCTCCTATCTTGATTAGAGGAAAATTACGCTGTTGCTTACACTCTCGTTGTCATGGTTTTTCCTGACACGGTGAGCGTGTTCTTGCTCTCTCTTTGTTTCCTTTACTCCCATAAATCCCTGGAATTTATTCCAGGTATTGATACTTTTGACACAAATGATAAAATATTTCTTAACGTACCTCTGGTCATTAAGAAACTGTTTTTTAAGTAACTTGAGAGTAGTCAATTTCAGTGGCGGATCTAGGGGAGGGACCTCCCCCCCTCCTTATTTTGGTTAAAAAAACCGCAGAAGGAGGAAAGCCGGGAGCGCAAGGAAATCCCCTCCCCATCCCCCTCCCCATCCCCCGCCCCGCTTAGCTCAAGGTCTATTTAACAATTAGACCCGTAGCCCTTGCGGGCTACGGGTCAATAGCCCATGAGGCGAAGCGGAATGGGCTATTGACCCGTGGCCCTTGAGGGCGAAGGGTCTAATTGTTTTAGTATCATCCAACTAGTCGGACAGAAAAGGTAATAATAAAGTTAGCAAATGCAAGTTGAAGAAATATTTTTTTGGGAATAAAACGAAAGAAAGCGTTACGCTCGATGGCGCCAATTTCGCTACTCGATGACTATTACTAATAGTCCCCTAGTAGCGTAGCCAATCAAAATGCAGGATTTGCCTTAGTCCACTAGTTGGGTGATACTAAAAATTGCTAGTTTCACTGTCATGCCATCAAAGAAATAGTAACCAGCTTAACGAACGTCCCCACTGGAGTAAGTTCAGCTCACAGGAATTTCGTTTAATTTGTTGATCTCTTCCTTCACGATGAGCTGAATTGTGTTATAAGTTTCATTGTGTTAGCTTTAAGGCTGTAAGAGTTATAAAATGGCGGCCTCAAAAGCTAGCTCCATCTCCTAGTCCCAGAAGACCAGAAAAAGCCCTGTCAGAATAAGGTTTATGGTTGCCTCCCATGATCAAATTGGCGGAATGGTTAAGGGTTCGCCTTAAACACCAATCGTAGCACAGCTTTTCATGGTATACAAGAAGAACAGCAGCTCTTTAATTCCCGGGTATCATTTCATCACAGTGCGTTAACGATACTTTCGGCATATTCCACTGAAATGACTAGACTACTGATGCATCCTGACGTTGGACATAGGAACGTCTCTTTAAGACAAACTTATAGCTTTCCAGAAGGAATATTACAGCTATCTCTGGCGAAGCTGGACGCACAAATTAAAGATAAATATGACACCCGTGATAATGAGAAGCAGCGTAGAACTCCAAACAGGTCAAGTAGCCGGGCCCGGAGCAACAAGACAAAATGCACATAACCAACATATTCACGGAATACTTCAAACTTTGTCCCTCCAGTGCTAATATCTAGAGAGCCTAAAACATATCGTAAAATTAATGGGAACGTTATTAAAAAAAAACTATCACATCGTAAATTACAGGGGTTTCGAACTCTACAAACTAAGCTAAACTACGTAACCTATAACCTCTAACGGCTCTACTCTGGTAAAATGTCCTCCTAATGACACAGAGACAAATGCGAGAGAGAAAAAGGTCGCGATACAGAAAAACAAAAAGAACGGCAAATGTACAAATTCCAAGAGGTGATAGCTTAAGAAAATGGATCGAGAACTTCTACATGGACATAGAAAGCGCAGCTTTGAACAACGGTTTTGCAACGGACTGATTTAAACCCTCTAGAGGAGATAGACAAGGATTCCCACTCTCGCCATATCTGTTTATCCTGACTTCAGAAATACTATCAAACAAAATGAGACAAAACGCAATCATAAAAGGAATCAGAATTTTTGGCTCAGAGATCAAACTAAGCCAATTTGCAGACGATATCAACTTATTCTGTGCTGATGTTGCTTCTGCTGAACAAGCCCTGAAAACTATGAGCGCTTTTAGGAATTTCTCTGGATTAGTGCTCAACGGAGAGAAAACAAAAGCCTTCTGGTTAGGGGAATGGTTGAATAATAGAACCAAACCGCTAGGGATGAAATGGATAAATACTCCCACAAAATTATTAGGAATATATGTTTCCTATGACGAAAAAGGTAATAACCAGATGAACTTCAATTTGAAAGTGCAAAAACTGAGACAAATTTAGACATTTGGAAATCGAGGGGATTACCACTCTATGGAAAAGTACTAATAATTAAATCTTTGGGGTTGTCTAACTTAATAAACTCAATTTCAAATGTTAACGTCCCTAAGGAAATAGTGCCGGTGGTAAAAGATAAAATGTTTCGTTTCCTTTGGAAAAATAACAAGGACAAAACAAAACGGACTAGTATGTACCAAGACCTTTCCACGGGGGGCTTACGGATGGTTGACATCGAACTTACGATAAAATCGCTCAGACGTGCATGGATCAAAAGACTTCTCTTTAGAGATAACTGCAATTGGAAAGTAGTACCGGGCTATTTCTTTTTTAACAAACACGGAGGTCTCAATTTCCTGCTTCGATGTAACTACGATGTCAAATATTTAAGGCACATTCCAACATTCTATAGAGACATACTTATTGCACTTGATGAAATCAAGACTCTGTACAATTATGATCAAGGAACCGACACCATTCTCTTTAATAACAAAGAAATCTTAGTTAATGGGAAACCGTTATTTATGAGGGAATGGTTTATCAAGGGTATCCACATGATCCAATAGCTTTTTAATGAAAACGGTTAATATTTAACTCTTCAAGAATTTCAAGCTAAATATCATTGTAACACAAACTTTCTCCAGTTCTGTCAAATCTTGAGTGCAATNAATTTGGAATTTGTTAGAGTCAGTGTGGATTGTAGTGAGCAGTCATCGGACAACGCAGAAGTTAATACCTTATATTTCATCATTACAACTTTATGTTGCTTACTAGACCTTATGTACATGTAGCAGCATAAAATTACCTACTTTGCTCATATC